AACGAACACATCTTAGTTCATGTTCGACTCGTTAAGTTATCGAACGAAATTAACAAGTCGAACATGAGTTGTTCACGAACAACGAGTCATTTTGACAAAAAAAAAAATTTTTGTGCGAACTCCTGACGTAGCTCTACGTGCGGACCAAGTTATTTCTAAGTTTTTTTCAGGTTATTTCTTGATTATTTCGTTATTTCAATAATACCGAAATAACCCAAAAATACCTAAAAAATAAAGACCGCGGATTATTTCTAAATTATTTTAATATTATTAAAAATAATTCAAAAATAACCTGAAAATAAGTTAGAAATAAGTACAAGAAAAGTGGCTCCATTTTCACAGCCCTATGCACATCCAATAACCTCCTTACGCAAATTTTTCTCCTTTGGCATATAGCTAATCAGAGACGATATTATTGGCCGTTCGTACCACAAAAAATATATTTTTTTCCCGCCACAGGGCCCTTATCAAGATCCGTAATCCTCCTCTCTTCCACCGTCTCTCCTCCTCTTCGGTTGCTGTGTTCTGTGTTGATCGTCGGCGCAATGGCAACATGGTTGGTTGACAAAATGATGGATGCGATCATCGACTCTTGCTTTCAGTACCTTCAAGATCGGATCGGATCGCAGACGAGCGTGGAGGAGGAGCTGGATAGGCTGCGAGGGGACCGCGATAAGATCCAAGATGTGGTCTCTGCTTCCAACCAAGCACAGATCGTAGATTGTAACGAGGCGCTGGATGACTGGATGCAGGGGCGAAGAGGGGGGCTTTTGATGATGCAAATGATTTGCTCGAGGAGTTTGAGTACTTGGGGCTTAAAGAGCAGCTAGCCAGACCCAACGTGGAAAAAACTGAATCAAAAAAAAAAAAACGACACTTCATCTTTCGGTTACTTTCGGAATTGGCTCTCAAATTTCGCAAAGTTGGGGATGGTGTTCTCAAAGATGATCCCAACTTGAAGAGATTGAAGGAGGTTGTGCAGAATCTCGATAAAGTTTCGGCTGAGGTGAGTAATTTTTTTCAAATTTTAAAATACACAGAAGAGAAAAGGCAGCAGCCGGCTTCCGACGATCGTGAAAGGGGATCCTCTCCTGGACCTGTTTTCATCGGTCGAGGTAAGGAAAAAGCTAAAGTTATGAAGTGGTTGGAGAAGCCATCAAATCAAGATCCAAGTGACACAGATTTATACAACAACATTTCTCTTTTGTCTATAGTGGGTCATGGTGGTATGGGGAAGACGACTCTCCTGCAACATGTCTTTGAACATGTGAACGAGGAATTTGATGTTAAGATTTGGGTGTGTGTTTCCAACAACTTTAAAGAGGAAGAAGTCATTACTGATATGTTGAAATATCTTAATAAATGGAAGCCTCATTTAATGAAACTTCCTCCTCTTCAAAACACACTTAAATTTGTGATGCAGTCCAAGAAGTTTTTGCTTGTTCTGGATGATGTTTGGGAGGAGGGGAGTACTACCAAATGGGGGAATGTGCTCTCCCCTCTGGCTAAGGGAAGTTTGGGAGGTAAAATTTTGGTAACAACCCGGATGGATTCAGTTGCATCCATGATTGCAGAGGTGATTAGAAAGAAGAATAAAATGTTGAGATTAGAGGGCTTGAAGGATGATGACTGCTTGCGACTCCTCAAAACGCATGCATTCGGTGTTAAGGAAAACAGTAGCCGTGTGCATAATGAGTTAGAGTGCATTGCTGAAAAGATAGTTAAAAAGCTTTCCGGTTCTCCCTTGGCAGCAAAGGTCATTGGCTGGGT